GTCTTCCTTATCTGATCGTATCAGGGAGCATCAGTATGATGACCCTCATTTTGTTGTCCTCAAGGACAAGGTTTAGCACGGTGATGCCAGAGATGTGACTATTAGCGATGACGGTGTGTTGAGGATGCAGGGTCGAATTTGTGTACCCAATGTCGATGGGCTTCGAGAGTTGATTCTGGAGGAGGCTCATAGCTCGCGGTATTCCATTCATCCGGGTGCCACAAAGATTTATCAGGATTTGAGGCAGCACTACTGGTGGAGGCAAATGAAGAAGGACATAGTTCGATTTGTAGCTCGGTGCCTCAACTGTCAGCAGGTGAAGTATGAGCACCAGAGACCGGGTGGATTGCTTCAGCAGATGGAGATTCCGGAGTGGAAGTGGGAGCGGATCACCATGGACTTTGTAGTTGGGCTCCCATAGACTTTGAGAAAGTTCGACACTATTTGGATGATTGTGGATCGACTGACCAAGTCCGCTCACTTTATTTCCTGTGTGTACTACTTATTCTTCAGAGCGATTGACAGAGATTTACATCCGGGAGATTGTACGTCTGCATGGTATTCCAATATCCATCATTTTAGATAGGGGTACTCAGTTCACATCACAGTTCTGGAGAGTCGTTCAGCATGAGTTGGGTACTCGGGTAGAATTGAGTACAACATTTCACCCTCAGACGGACGGACAGTCCTAGCGCACTATTTAGATTCTTGAGGATATGCTCTGTGCGTGTGTGATCGAGTTTGGAGGGTCTTGGGATCAGTTCTTACCATTGGCAGAGTTTATTTACAACAACAGCTATCAGTCCAGCATTTAGATGGCACCGTATGAGGCTTTATATGGTATACGGTGTAGATCCCCGGTGGGTTGGTTTGAGCCGGGTGAGGCCAGATTATTGGGCACAGACTTGGTTCAGGATGCTTTGGAGAAGGTCAAGGTGATTTAGGATAGACTCCGTATAGCCCAATCCAGATAGAAGAGTTATGCGGACCGGAAGGTTCATGATGTTTTCTATATGGTTGGAGAACGGGTTCTGCTTCGGGTTTCGCCTATGAAGGGCGTTATGAGATTTGGGAAGAAGGGAAAGCTGAGTCCGAGGTTTATTGGGGCTTTTGAGATTTTGAGGCATGTTGGGGAGGTTGCTTATGAGCTTGACTTACCTCCTAGCTTGGCAGGAGTTCATCCAGTATTTCATGTATCGATGCTCTAGAGGTATCACGGCGATCCGTTGCACGTGTTGGATTTCAGTTCGGTCCAGTTGGACAAGGATCTATCTTATGTTGAGGAGCCAGTGGCAATATTAGACAGGCAGGTTAGAAAGCTAAGGTCAAAGAACATTGCATCGATAAAGGTTCAGTAGCGGGGTCAGCCGGTCGAGGAGGCGACCTGGGAGACCGAGCAAGATATACGCAACTGTTACCCTCATCTTTTCACTACTTCAGGTATGTCTCTATGCTCGTTCAAGGACGAATGAATGTTTAAGTGTAGGAGGATGTGATGACCCGGCCGGTCGTCTTAAGAATTAACGCTCTGATCCCCTATTAACTATTTTTCCCGTGTTTATTTCAGCCATTTTGATTTGCCGGGATATTCGGTTTTAGAGTTTTGGAAGTCTTAGGCTTGAATCCAATGAAAAATAGGTGTTTTGATGTTGTTTTGAGCGTTCCAAAAGTTGGAACAAGTTTGAATGAAGTTATAGGATATGTTGGTAGGGTTGATTGAGGTTCCGGGGGCCTCGAGATAATTTCGGAAGGTTGACGGAAAGATTTTTGGAAATTGGAGTTGCAGCTGTGTTTCTGTCATAACCGCACCTGCGAGTGTGGGACCACAGGTGCGGAGCCGCAGAAGCGGTGGATCAATCGCAGAAACGGGGATGGGGAGGTTCAGCAAGAGCCGCAGAAGCGGTAGGTTTTCCGCAGAAGCGGTACCGCATCTGTGGATGGGGAGTCACAGATGTGGAAGCTGGTTTTAAGTGAGGAGTCGCAGATGCAACCATTGTTCCGCAGAAGCTGGACCACAGAAGCAGTCCCAGGACCGCAGATGCGGTAACAACTGGGCAAAAATATGAAATTTCGAGGGTTTAGTTTCAAAAGTTGTAAATTCGATATGGAGCTCGGGAGAGGGCGATTTTGAGAGGAAATTGAAGAAGAGATCATTGGGTAACAATTATTTAACCCTTTCTAGTTATATTTCATAAATCTATAGTTAGTTTCATCATTTAAGTTCGGATTGGAGATGAACATTGGGGAAAAGTTGGAAGAAAGTTCTTAGACCTAAAATTTGACTTTTGATTGGGAATTTGACCTTAGATTTGGATAATTTTAGTATGCATGAACTCGTGAGAGTATGAGGATTCTGAAAATATAAATTTTACCCGATTCCGAGACGTGGGCCTGAGGGGCGTTTTGGTCATTTTACCTAATTTCGCGTATTAGCTTAGAATTTCTTTGTAGAATCAGTTATTTGAAGTGTTATTTATATTATGCAATTGAATTAAATAGATTTGGGCCATTTGGAGTCGAATACTCGTGGCAAAGACGTGGTTTCGGGTTGATTATTGAGCCGGTTCGAGGTAAGTGGCTTGTCTAACCTTGTGTGGGGGACCTTCCCCTTAGTATTTGGTATATTTGATATTTGAAATGCCTTGTACGTGAGGTAACGAGTGTGTACTTGAGCTAATTGTTGAAAATCTGGTTTTTTTTTAAGTAATTTCAATTGTATTCCTTTTCCTGTTTCATTTTACTTGCAATTTAAACTTGTTGTTAGCTTAGAAAAAGCATGTCTTATTGACTTAACTGTTTATTTGCTTAAACTGCCTTAAATGAATTATGTGAAGCATGTTAGATTAGAATTACTTGTTTACTTGATACGAAATTGAGCTTAATTGAGTATTCTTGTATTGCTACTGTGTGTTTTTACTTTGGGACTACGGGATGGCATCTCGGGAGATCCTCTGTACGTATTTATGATTTGAACTGAGGATACCGAGAGATCCTCGGGATACCAAGAGATCCCTAGCATATATTGAGGATATCGAGAGATCCTCGGGATACCAAGAGATCCCTAGCATATATTGAGGGTACTAAGAGATCCTCGGGATACTGAGAGATCCCCGGTTGTTATCCTTGTGATTGTTTTTGCCTCTATTTCAGTTATTGAGTTCCTTATATTCCTGTATTTAATTCTTATTGTTCGCTTTCAACTGTATTGCTTATCTTATACTGTCATACCTTGTATTTTTATTTTATCTCAGTAGGGCCTGACCTTCCTCGTCACTACCCGACCGAGATTAGGCTTGGCACTAACTGAGTACCGCTGTGGTATACTCATGCCCTTTCTGCGCATGTTTTTCATGTGCAGATCTAGGTACCTTGACTCAGACTTACCATCCTTGAGGCGAGACGACCCTTCGGAGACTTCGAGGTATATCTGCCGTGTCCGCAGACCGAGGAGTCTCTCTCTATTCTCTCTTGTAGTTACAACCCTTCTGTATTTACTTGTTTTAGACTATTCTGGAGTTAGAGCACTATGTAATATCCTTAGCTTGTGATTCATGGGTTTCCGGGTTTTGGGAGGAATGTATTAGTTTTTGAGAGTTAATATTGTGCATGCCGAGCGGCATTTTTAAACGTTGTTTTATTACACTTTTTCTGTTTTAAATTGTGTTCTTCCGCAAATTGGTTTATCTTCCGCAAATATAGGCTTACCTAGTCGTAGAGACTAGGTGCCGTCACGATGGTTCACGGAGGGCGAATCGGGGTCATGACACTGGGTTGGCGGGGCACCGATTACCAAAATATGTTCGTTCCCATCCGGCTCTCCCCCAACCCGTCCCACCCCTAGCGTACCGGGCTAACCCTGGCTGAACCGGGTCGAACCGGGCTATCAATTGGCTAGCCCGGCAGATTAACAAGTAGTGTGTTCCCTCGTGATAGATTATTTTGATGCGTTTTATCATTGGCCCTTGGGGGCATCCACTCCCCAATGATCATGTTTCTCCAACAAGTTTTACAAAACGCATTTTTAGAATGTGATTTATGTCAAATATTATTTCACAACCTGTCTGAGGGTTCCACGATGTCCTTAAATGAAATTTCAGACATGCAATTTGCATATTTCTGGCGTTCTCTTAAAAACTATATACCCGTGGAAAGCCAAAAGTACATATTTTGGTAAAATTCCATCCCCAATTATATATATGTTGTTTGTGCCCAATAAGGTGAAAAACATATCACTTGGTGATGACCTTTGTGCTTGGGTGAGTTAGAGAAGTTGGGATTCTGATGGACAAAATTACACTTGTGGTACTTAGTGAGGATGGTATATTTTGTCTTCAATGTTATGGTTTGAAATTTATGCGCAAAAATAAGTTGGCGTCCTAGTGGTGTTAAATTCTGGTATTAAATTTGAATGAAAAAATATAGTGCATTGCACATAACCTATTTGTTAGCTTTTTTAAGGGCTCAAACTAATTTTCACTTATTCAACCTTTCCCAACCTATGCTTGGTGTAAATTCTCCGTATCCATTGCCTTCCCTAACCTATGCTTGGTGTAGATTCTTCTTTTTTCTCTATGACGATAGTGTGTGAACAAGCTCATGCACACCTCGACTATTAGCTGCGACCTGCTCGGTGTCGATTCGTAGCACCTGAAACACATGGTGCGACCTGCTTGGTTCGACTTATTTTTTACATTTTTTCTTCTGCAGATACTAGAACCTTCATACATAATCCTCAGGCATTTCGTATAGTTTTCTTCCTGCAATCATATTCCCTTCAAAACTCTATTGCTCTGGATTTGTTCCCAGAATCCTTTCTATATTTAACTGAATTCCGACAGCTTCTACAAATACAAGTGGAAGAGAACTTGTGCGGCACAGAAAAGGTAAATTTGTTCAGGGCACGTTTCAAACCTTAATTTGCTCAGTACTTTAGGCAAGATAAGATTCATGATGCTATTATTGCTCAGTACTTTTGGCAAGATGCGATTCATGACGCTCCATAATAGCAATTCAATTAAGCTTCATATTAATCAAAAAGACTCATCTACTACATGGATCCAAGTCACTGATTGAAAGATTTACAATGTAACATTCCGCACAAAATATCTGTACATCAGAAAATGCTCTCTTTGTTACTAGACGAAAATTTTGGTAGATTTACATACTGCTTCAAGCTCCAGGCAACATTAAAAATACTGCTTCAAGATTCAGATAACAGTTTCAAAACAAGCAATGAACATGAAGGACTAATCAATTCCCAAGCCGGAGTAAGGCTCAAAGCCGCCCTGACAAGTATAGACAGACAGAAGAGTGGCAAGGTTAGATAAGACACATACTGAACGTTCTCCTCAAGGATTGCTATAGACACTATTACCATTAAAATCGTGAAAGTGAATTACCTTCCTAGCTAATAGAAATATTTGATAGATGTTAAAACTGCATAATTTAAACAGGGAGGCCCCAAATCTAACCGGTGTTAGTATTCACATATAAAAGAAGTAGAATTGTACATGTAGTATAAAGCTTTAAACTTTAAGGAGCTGATTACTATTAGTGTTATTTAAGTTTCCTCAGTCGTAAACCACTGCCTAAATCTAGTAAAACTATGGAGTTCCTAAGTTATTTCCAGAAGCAATTATAAAATCACATAAGAATCATACAAGAATGCAGCCTAAATCAAGGTGTTGCAAGATTTATAGAACTTTAATAATGAAACAAAAAGGTGTGATTTTTTCTCCATGTCAATTAACAATGTCATATTAGCTTTGCTCTTCTACTTGGTAGAAAAGAAAAAAGAATGAAACTTCGCTTGTTCTACCTTGTACTTTTTTAAACAAATCCGATGACATAACGCCATTATCCCGCAATTCAAATCAGGAAGGAAAAGGATAACTAATGAAACAGGACAGATAAGGGTTATTAAACCATTGTTTAACTAGTTCATCTTAAAAGAGAAGCTAAAACTTACTGCGCAGTCATCATGGACACGCCAAATCGTTTCGCCCAAGAGGTTTGCAACAGACAAAATGGTCAGCTGGGGAAAATAGTTCTGTTCTGCCACCGGAATGGTATTTGTGATGATTACCTCCTGAAACAGTCCACTCGACAACCTCTCTATCGCAGGAGGGCTGCAAAAAATAAGATTAAGATTCAGACTTCAAATCCCAGCAAAGGCAACAAAAACAGTAGGTGTTTCTTCCCATTCGCCTAAGCCTTGTTGGACAGAGTTACCAGGTACCTGTATTAGTGGGAGGTAGCAGGTACCCAACAGAATAATCAAGGGACGCACACCACCATTATCAAAAAAGGTATCATGCAAAGTTCACCAACAAGTTGGGCAGCCTAGAATCTCGATATCCAAAGTCTTATCTTGAAGGACACAATGAAAACAATGCTCTAGTGCCCTAGTGATTTAATTACAATAGAAGGATTTGGATGGGCATTCTTTTTTCCCCTTCCCCCTTTATTTTTGTGCCAAAAGATTGCCATTAGCAAGTTGATGCAGTTCTGAGAATAGACCGAGAACTTATTTTATCGGGATCCATAGTGTACATGTGTTCATCACCACTTACTGTGAAACAGATGTAATTAAGTAATTTCAGGCTAATAATGACGATATGGAAGGGAAAGTCTTTTCATTAAAATAAGCAAGCCCAAAATTGATGCAATGCTCCAGCTTTGGGTAAACCAGAAGTACCTGAAAACCGCATGAGTGGTGCATGCATAAACTTCCCTGGCTCCTTCTTGATGTAAAAGGGCAGCTCCTTTTGCAATAGTACCTGAAAACAATTATAGATTAACAGGGAATAATCAGTTTTGACCAATAATAAACTAACCAAATCACCAATCATGCCGAAAAAAAGAAATGGACAGAAAAGAGAAAAAGGAGCAGAACATGAGCATGAAGTATGTCACCCAGCCAGGTCAAAATCATGCCTAAACAATAATAGCTAGTAATACATACAATAACAAAACCAAAAAAAACAATTAATTTGTGATATAGCACTTCACATAGAACAAAAGGGGCGAAAATAATTTTGTAGTTTCTTGCTTTCATATTTGACCACTTAACTTAAAACAAAATTGAAAAGCTCCATAGCGTAGAAAAGGAGGTGCAGATTGCTTTTATCACAAAACAAAACTGCAATAAAATAAGACCAGTAAGCGAAAACGAAAAGTACTAACCAGCCGTATCAATCATGTCATCAACCATAACTGCCACTTTTCCCCTAACATCGCCAATCAAATTCATTACCTATGAGCAGAAAAGCAGCAAGTTAGTGCTCACCAAAAGAAAAACATAAACAGGTACATAGAGAGTTATGATATATGGAGGGACTGACACAAGTATTGATGATGTCATATGCAAGAGGATTCTTGTACTTGGTCTAACATGTTCAAAACATGTAAAGGTACGTTCATGACAGTGATTTTGAGAGCACGAAGCGCAAAAAAGCGATAGGGCCCTGCTTTGCTTAAAGTGTGGAGCAAAGCGCTCGCTTCGGTGAAGTGAAGCAGAATTTTTAAAAGATCTTAAATGATCATTGCACAAATAAATAAAGTAACTAAATGAACAACACCAAGTTAGACCAAGGGAATTATGTTTGCTATATTTAAAACTAATAAATAAGGGCTTCTGAATTCATCTCATCTTTTATGAAAATTCATTTTTCTTTGTTGATTAATAACCTTATCATTAAAATAAAATGCGCTTTATAGCAATATCACATATACATTTCAACCTCGAATTTTTAATTACGAAAAAATTTAGAGAGTCCATTAGTTCATGAATCATGACAAAAGAATTATTTCTCGATATAGAAATCAAAACTGAATTATAGGAAAGAAAGAATAAAAAGAAAAAGAAAGAAAAAAGACATCCCCTTTTTACTTTTGCAATTAGATTCTTTTCTTTCTATTTCTATTTTATTTCATTCCTATTCAACTCAACAAAATAATACAGTATCTATTAGCAAGTAAAGAGCTAATAATCATCCATAAGACAAGTCTCTCCTTTGTTCATATTTATTGGATGATGCCACTTAAATTGCTTTTATTAGAAAGTAAAAAAAGAAGAAGTCATTAATCAATTTATAACTGATTTTTATATGTAAACCAACGATTAGCAGAATAAATTGAAACTAATTTGGGCTTCTTTTTTATTATATAAACTGGAAAACAGAGGAAAAAAAAAAAGCAGTTGCAGCAATTAATCAATTGAAACTGAGGGAAAAGAACATGTCCAATAGAATTCTGTGAAAAAAGGAAAAGAAAGATTACCAAATAAAATTAATTAACAAAGTGAAAAAAAAAAAAAAAANGAGGTGCATCAGATAACTTTTTGGCAAAAGCTCTTGCCCTTGCAACCCCACCAACATCCGGAGATACCACAACTAGATCATCAGAGCAGATAGTCTTGCTGGCAAGGTAATCAAGTATGACAGGCTATACATGCAGACACAAAAGAAAGAAGGTAGATAAGCATATGAATGAATACAATTTTTCCAATTTTCTAGCAGAAGGAAAGCCTTTCTCATTCTACAAAATCATGCCTAATACTGATGCCAAAAATGCTAAAGTTAATATTGTGGCTATTGACAAATTACCTGGCCATGTACATGATCCACTGGAATATCAAAGTAACCCATTGACTGGCCAGAATGAAGATCACAAGCAAGAACTCGATCTGCACCAGCTTCTGTAATCAGGTTTGCTACAAGTTTGGCAGCAATTGATTCACGACCTTGAGTCTGCAAAAGGATTGGGCATTTGACTGAACTAGACTAGCTAAGAACTAAGGTTTATCTCTGTTAATACTGACCACACCAAAACTCAAGTACCCCTCGCCCATTCAATCCAGAATAGGCAAATGTTTGTAAAAATGAGGACATGCATATATTTTAATTTTTGTTTGATAAGTAATTAATGATATTATAAATTTATGCACTAAGCCAGTGCATCAGGCATAATTACAGGTTGAGCAAACCCTCTATTGTATCTAGCATTCCATCTACATCATGTTCAATTACCAGATTGCACCAAAAAGCTAACAAAAAAATACATCTTTGTTTAAGGCTGTGAATGTTTCTCGTTGTGCCTTTAAAAATTCTATTGTTTAGGTATGGTATTCCAAGTTCTTAGAGACTTCTTACTAAGCCCCTCTCTGCTCCAACCTTGCAAGAGCTCAACAATTGATTTTGGCATGGTCCAACTCATGCCCAGAATTACCAGAAACATATTCCGCAGCTGCCTAGTGACCCTACAATGCAAGAAGAGGTGGCCAACTTCTTCCGGATGCTCTTCACACAATGGACATCTACTGCACAGTTGACACCCCCTCTTTTGGAGGTTCAGTTGTGTGAGACAAGCCTCCCGAGCAACAATCCAAGAGAAACAAGAAACCTCCAAAGAAGCCTTGCTTCTCCAAACCTTTTCCCAAGGCCATAATACCCCATCGCTGCTAGAATCCAGCATGTGGTAACAACTTTGGACTGAAAAGAGACCCTGCTGATGGCTTTTCCAACCTATGGAGTCTGTTTTGTTGTGATCCAAGGTTATGTTGTTTAACCTCTGAAGCAAAATACATAGTCTTTCCACTTGATTTCAAGGACATGCATTTGAGTTCCAAAAGCTATTTCATCTTCACATACCAAATTCTTATTCATCTTAATCAAAAACAGAAATGGCTTCAAAGATAAAGCATTCATAATATTCAATCGTTTCACGGTTACATAAAATTCATCGGACCTGAATCAACTCTGTAGCTCAACTTATTAAGCTAGGTCCAAGTTGAGAAGAATATGCATTGCTTATTGACACACCCATCTGATCAAACATGTATTATGGTAGCTGTACCATCTTGGTTTTAAACAACTAATTTTCAACATGGAAATAACAAGAATCTATGACATACTCGATCATTTATTTACCATTTAATAGGACAATCAGCATAGAATTACCTTACGATCAGCACGGGCATACCCAAAGTACGGAATCACTGCAGTAATATTTTTGGCTGAGGCTCTACGGCAAGCATCAATCATTATCAAGAGTTCCATCAGATTTTCATTAGCAGGAGGACACGTAGGTTGGACAAGATATACATCACAACCCCTAACACTCTCTTGTAACTGGACATAGATTTCGCCATCAGCAAAACGTTTTATCATTATCTTTCCAAGTTCCAAACCCATGTAGCAAGCAATTTCCTATGAAACAGGCAGCATATCCATCAGCAATGACATATCAAAAGAACACATAATGGTATTACCCAAAAACTATTAAACAACTTCTAATGGAATTAAAAGAACCGCATTGGTAGAGATGATGAAGCAAGCAAATCTATATTTTTATTGTTGTTACTTTGAGGTGGTAAACTCAACACCCCCCCCCCCCCCCCCCCCAAAACCCCCTTACCCTGGAGACCAAGCTTGACCTTTTCCCACTTGCTCCTAGCTGATCTTATATGACACCTATGATGGAGTCAAACTGGTCAAAGAGAAGAACTAGCAGGCTTCTAGGCTGGCAAGGAAGGAGTGCATATGACAGTTAAGGCAAATCCCGCATGGAATAGGAGATAAAAAACTTTATAAGGCATAGCACAAAGTTCACATGGTACACGCACTTTTGAACTAAATGATGGGACAAATCCGTGAGGTCTATTAGGTCAAAACAGACAATACGTGCCATAGGCTTGGGCTGTGACACTAGAACCCCCAAACTTATAGTTGGATGTTAAAAAGTATTTACCACCACGCTATCCCTCCATTGTTGAATCGAATAAAATAAAATGTTAGTAGTTTTTTAGCACTACTCTTTTACTTATTTGACCAATGTAAAATACTGGAATACATTGTTTTTGCACTTCCTTTTTTAACTTTCATAGAATCTTTAGAGCTTTAAAGAATGCCTTGGATGACTCAAGTAGGACTTGGATGACTCTGTAGTCTCAATTTCAGTAACTCTAGAATGGAGATTAAGGTTGTGTATATTCAAACATTCCTTAATCATCTTCATCTGATATCAGCTCATAAATGAAGTCTATAATAATTACCATGGAGAGCAAGACAGGAAAAAGAATTGAGTCAAGTAACACCTAACGTATCTTATACTCATGTTGCAATTGAGCCTACAGAGCTTTTTCTTTCAAACAATCCCTAAAGTCGAATCCTCTGTTTCTTTAGGCATTAATCATCTATTTTTGGCATTAATTGAAGTTTATTGCAATTACCAAGGAGAGGTAGACAGAATAAAGAATTGAAGCTTAACTTTCAATTAACGCCTAAAATTTCTTATGCTCAAGTTGCAATTAAGTCTACAGTTTATTCTTTCAAGCAATCCCTAAATTCAAATGTGTGTTTCCTTTACTTTAGCTGCTGCGAAGGCATCAATTATAACGTCAATTTCTTATTATTTTTACAATGAAGTAGAAGTAAAAATACCAACTACAATTAATACCTGAGAAAGTGCAGGATTGGCAGTGCCAGAGAAAATCCGGAGTCTAGTATCATTTTGAGCATGTGGAACTGGAAATCTCCTTACTTGATTAGCGGTCCAAAGATTGTTAAATGAACTGTCACCATTAATCTGAAGAGCCATGCTTGATCCCCCATTCTCCTTGTTAAACCTTAATGGTTCTGCCACATTACATCTCTACAATGCCACAACAACATTAAGATAGCAGCGCGTTGTTCTCGCCACATAATTAATCTAGTAGTAAAGGGGAAGAGAAAATTGCTTACTATAATTGAGTCTCCGGCAGCATATCTACAAGGACGAGGTTTGCTGGTAGCTAAAAAGCTTCCAGGTAGAGCTAAAGATGCCATGTGGAGAAGAGAGAGGGAGGGAGATTGTTTTTGGTGTTAGGGTTTTAGAAAGGAAAAAATATACTATCTTGAAATCATGCCTGAAATGACTTTCCGAGAGTCGTGCCACACGTTGTAAAGTGCTTGAATTTAGAAACAAAATTAGTAAACATGCTTATAAGGCAAGGTTACTTGGCACTCTCCTTTGCCAATAATTCTATTTATTTTTTTTCTTCTTTTTTTGAATTTTAATTTCATTTTTCATGTTAACTATTTCAATTCAAGAGGACGATATTCTTTAATTGGTGTAACGTTCCGATTTAAGAATTTTAAAAGCCACCCTTTTTAATATCTCTAAGAGGTAAAATAACCGTCTAAGAAACTAATATCACCATTTCGGAAATTATTAATTATACAAGTAATAAAAGAGGTTAAGAAAACGTTTCTTCCAACTGTCGTGACTTTTTGATGTCATAATTTCAATTGTAACTCATCTCTTATGCCTATTCTTTTTATCAAGAAGTTGTCCTTTCTTCCAGAATATCTATTTCCTGGGTAATTCTACATTAGAAAGTAAAAATTACTTCTCCACTTTATTGATGCTGTCGTTCAAGATTAAGCAATTGATCAATCAAATGTCGGCTGATCTCCGTCTCTTTCTCTTCGTAACTACGTTCTTCGTAAGCACTTATAATACTACTGTCATTGCTACACGCATATCGAGTTCGATATCAATATAATGTCAAATCTTTATGAACCGTCAAAGGCAAGTTTTCTGTTCATATAATTTCTTAAGATCTCTTTAATTCTTTGTTTTAATGACAGTATTATATATTCCGTTGAATGAACATGATGGGATATACTATATGGAAGAAATGGAAATGCAGGTCCTCCAAGAATGTGTTTTGTTCTATCTGGATATAGAAGTCGTTTCACTTTATTGTGGCTTAATGATTATTGACGATTTCTTTAACTTATCTAATGCCAGTACTCTTCGATCTACTAGCATCAAACTTGGAATTTTGCATGCAAAGTGATAATAGTAGTAATATGTAAGTTCATTTGAACTTTGACATGTTAAGTGTTAGGAAAGTGAGGAAATATTCTTGATTTTGGATGTTGAGTTTTTTTTTTTTTTTGAAATATGAAGTAGTTTTGTATTTTCATAAGTATGCCTTTTCTCCAAAGAAGTATTGTATATATTCTTCATTGTTCATTATATAGAATTTTGTTATAATGAGAACTATGCTTTTTTGCAAAGTATTCAATTTAGGTCACACGATTTTTTCTTATCAATTTGAATTAAATATTTGCAATTCATCTAATAGTTTAATCATGGTAAGAAGTGACAATCAACCACGACAAATAAGTACTAGAATTAATAATATTTTCGCGAAAATTTAAGAGGAGAAGCCAAGTAAATTCCAACAGTGATTAGGATAGGGATGTATTACTCTAAGCAAAGAACTTTTCCTGCTGAAAATTGAGGCTAAGCTTCGTGATGCTAATCTTCATCGACATGTTTTTTTTTTATTTTTGCCAATAAGTAGTTGTGAATTAGACGATAATCCTCTTTTATTTTAAAGAATTAATAAAGGGATATTTGGTTCTTCCTTTTTCCCTGTTAGTTTATAGATGAAGTACATACATGAAAATTTCATCTGTTATATATCTCGGTTAAATTTATAATAAATTAGTATCATAAATTCACTTTTCTTATAACCGTGCAAACCGCGGTCTACTTAACTAGTTATAAATAATCAACAAACATCCATGTCTATGTCTATATCTATTTTTATCTCTATCTCTATCTATATCTATATCTACTAATTTTAGGGTACGCGCAGTGCGCGTGTATCCAATCTTAATGAGTGCAAAATTTTAAAAAAGTTATAATGTGTTTGAGTTTATAAACTAAATTTTTAAAAAATGATGATTTATCTTATTTAGCTAGATCAACAATTTTTTTTAAAAAAAAAACTGCAATTAAATAAGTATCTTTTTGATATTGTGATGAAGTCCTATCACCCTTGTAATGAACTCAATCGTTATAAAATATGAGTTTAAAAATTTATTTAAATTATATATCGAGTCTCAATTTATATCAAGCATTAGTGACCTATGACAACTTTTTTTTGTTACTTCCTTTTGAATTCTTAGAAGGAAATATAGAGAGGATATCTTACTTCAACTCTACTCACTTATATGTCCATTAAAATGTAAAATCTCTTGAATCTATGAGGATTATTAGACGATGTCATCATAAAAGTACAAAACTATATTTCTTAATAATATAAGCTACTAAATGCTGCAAAAGGCCTTTTGTACAAACCCTATACAAGAATACATAACCAAATACAATAACTTTATAGTAAAATCAAATACGATAAAATTAAAATAAAACCAAATACCATAGTTTAAAATAAGCCAGTGGAGTCTCGTCTTATATAAGAGTGGACAACAAAACTATTATCATAATTACTAACTTAGATTGACCCAATCAACTGTTCATCTAACTTACAACATGAAAAAATTGGAACAATAAACTGATATTTGATATTGTATATATAACAAAAAATATCTTTATAACCAAAAATCTCACAAATACATTTCAGAATAAAAAATACACCAGCACTGTTTATTTTGATTCAAAATGTATTAGAAACAAATGAATAAACATACAAAGCAGGTTAAAGGAAAAATAGAAACTTGACTATTCCTGTAGTTACCTTCAGCTAAAAAATTAATAATACACAATAAAAATACTGACATTGCAATGTTGACATTGCATGATATAAAATGCAATGATCCAAAAACCTATGCAAAATTTATAAATAAGTAATTTTAAACTGGTAATCGTACATGAAATATTGTAGTCAAAAATCAAAACTGACAAGCACAAACAAATTTACCTTTCAAACGGTGACAAAAAAATGAAAAGTTGGCTTCATTTTATAGAAGTGTTCCTCCCTATTTTAAATAGTTTTCATTTTACAATTCTAGAAAATAAAATTGACTAAGTTTGTTAAAAGAAATTTAAACCTAAACTGTATTGACTTCGTATCTTATGGCAATTATGGTAGAAGAATATTAAACCTTGTGACAATAATTTCTTCTCCTTATTGGATTCTATGTGAAAATTTTGAAAAATCAAAAATTAGCTTTAAATTGTATCCTACGGCAATTATAACCCAAAAAAAAAAACTAAACATAAACTAACATTACCTGCTGAGCAACTTTGGTAAAAGAATCATAAACCTAAAATGACACTAATACTATGAAAAATCGACCTTTGATAAAATATAATAGTACAACCTAATGTGATATTAATTGCTGAAATTTTGATTTTTCAAATTCTTTGTGTCCATAATTATAGTTTTATCTGACACATTATATACTTACGAAGGATAAAAAAGGCGAACGACATTTCACTAAAAGCTTTCGTGCTTTTAATATAATATAGATAGATATCTTCTATATATATTATTAATAGGAGAGGAAGAAGCCATCTCCTTATGCCAAATGGCAGCCTTAAAATTAGCCACATGTAATGTATTAACTAATAACTAATTTAGCTATATGACATAACCAGAAAAAGCCACTTCTAACTTAATTTAATTAATTAATAGTAAATAACTAAATCAAAATATTAAAATTTTTACTATAATACTTAAAAATATTATTAATAAATTTAAATAATTTAATAATTTCGAATATTAATTTAAAATAATATAAATATTTGTATCAAGATTAAAAAGGTACACATTGATCTATATTATTTTCACGACCCAAACCAATGGGTCGCAATGGGCACCCGGTACCTTACTTAACCAAGTACCAACATACATATCTTTCTTATCGTACTCTCATTGGCAAATGGGCCAAACGGGTCATCATGGGTTAACCAAAATAAACATAAGGGAATACTCAATATAAGAGGACCCAACCTGATACAAAAACTTATACATGTGACATACGGACCTATAAGGCCAACATTGTGATGACCCAAAAGGTCATCACTTGATTTACAAGTAAATTCTGTGTTTCCAGGCCTTAAAAGCCTCATTTTATCTCACTTCGATTTACGTGCGCGGTCCAGACATATATCAGGAACGCTTTTATGTGAAAATTTGATGAAAATGTTAATTTGGCTTTTAAAAAATTGAATTGAAGTTGACTTCGGTCAATATTTTAGGTAAACGGACTCGGACCCGTGGTTTGACGGTCCTGGAGAGTCCGTTGGAAAATATGGGACTTGGGCATATGCCCGTAATTGAATTCCTAGGTCCCAAGCCCGAGAAATGAATTTTTGAAGAAAATTATTTAATTGAAAATTTAAGAGTTTTTGGAAAGTTAAATGTATTTGAAATTGATGGTATCGGGCTCGTATCTTGGTTCCGGAATCCGATACAGATCTTATATGGCATTTAGGTTGAGCCTGTAAAATTTGGTAAGAAACGGACTTGATATGACATGAATCAGACCCTCGGTTGTTAAAACTTGAACTTAAGAGATCTTGAGATTCTTCTTTGATTTTGATGCTAAACTCGTTGTTAAAGATGTTAATTTGGCGATTTGATTATACGACTAAGTTCATATGATGTTTTTGAGTTAGTATGCATGTTTGGTTTGGAGCCCCGAGGGCTCAGGTGAGTTCGGATAGGTTTCAGGATGTTTTTACACTTAGAAAAGTTGTAAGTTTTGCTGTCTCAGGTGCCTAGTGATTTTGTTCTTCGCGTTCACATGACTTCTCTCACGAACGTGTAAGGCAAGTTCCTCAGGTGTCAGATTTGTTCATCGCAAACACGGAGCTCAGGACACGAATGCGAAGCGCGGGGAGGGGGGGTTACCCTTCGCGAATGCGGACCTGCTATCGCGAACGCGAAGGCCTTTTTGGCTGGGGACTAGAGGAAGGGATTTTATTCTACGCGAACGCGGCCACTCGACCGCGAACACGAAGGTCATCTGAGCCTGGCCCATCGTGAACGCGATAGGCCCATCGCGAACACGATGAAGGCTTGCCCAGTCATTTTAAAACAGACTCCAACACGGACAGAACTCATTTTTCTTCATATTTTCGAATATCCAAGGACTAGAAGCGATTTTCTTCACACAAATTCATCCCCAAAGTATTGG